CTCTCTCTGCCTCTCTCTGCCTCTCTCTGCCTCTCTCTGCCTCTCTGCCTCTCTGCCTCTCTCTGCCTCTCTCTGCCTCTCTCTGCCTCTCTCTGCCTCTCTCTGCCTCTCTCTGCCTCTCTCTGCCTCTCTCTGCCTCTCTCTGCCTCTCTCTGCCTCTCTCTGCCTCTCTCTGCCTCTCTGCCTCTCTCTGCCTCTCTCTGCCTCTCTCTGCCTCTCTCTGCCTCTCTCTGCCTCTCTCTGCCTCTCTGCTCTCTCTGCCTCTCTCTGCCTCTCTCTGCCTCTCTCTGCCTCTCTCTGCCTCTCTCTGCCTCTCTCTGCCTCTCTCTGCCTCTCTCTGTCTCTCTGCCTCTCTCTGCCTCTCTCTGCCTCTCTGCCTCTCTCTGCCTCTCTCTGCCTCTCTCCTCTCTCTGCCCTCTCGCTCTCTCCCTCTCTCTGCCTCTCTCTGCCTCTCTCTGCCTCTTCTGCCTCTCTCTGCCTCTCTCTGCCTCTCTCTGCCTCTCTCTGCCTCTCTCTGCCTCTCTCTGCCTCTCTCTGCCTCTCTCTGCCTCTCTCTGCCTCTCTCTGCCTCTCTCTGCCTCTCTCTGCCTCTCTCTGCTCTCTGCCTCTCTCTGCCTCTCCTTGCCGCCTCTGCCCCTCCTCGCCCCTCCCGTCCCCTCCCCCCCCTCCATGCCCATCGTCTCCCTTCACATTCCTTGGCCATTTATCTCCCTTATTCCTGCTTGCCATTTCACACTAAGCACATGCCGCCAATGGTCATCCTGAATGTCCTGCTTTTCATGTCTGCCTGCGCTCCTTCCAACGTGTGCTGTCCCCCTGCCATGGCGGCCTTGCATTCATGGGCCTCGTTTTGGGCATGGGGCATGGGCCACACAGATGGTGCCATGGGTGGACGTCACAGTGGAGGGCATACACCTGACGCTGCACGGCCGCCCACACGCGCTCAATGCCGTGGTGCTCACATCCGTGGCGGCCTCCTCCTTCAACTCGCACCTCGCCCTCTGGGAGCCGCTGCTCGAGCCCTTCGACTCCATCTTCAAGTACCCCCACACCGCCCCCCCACTGCCACCGCTCCTCTTCTGCTGCTCAACTGCCACCAATCTTGCTGCGTTGTCTTCCTTCTTGCCGCATTTGTTTGCCATGCCTTTTCTTAGCCACCGCATGCAGCATGCCTGTCAAGGTGGGGTGACGCCACGCAGTGGCAGTGGCAGTGGCAGTGGCAGTGGCAGGCAGGCAGGTGGCTGTGCTCAGCAGTGCCCCATGTGCATGCCACCCGGCCCACAGGTACGAGTGGGAGGGCGAGGGCAGCGAGGAGGCGGGGGCGCGGCAGTGTGGCAGTGTGCAGGCGGCGGGTGACAGCGACGAGTGTGGTGAACGTGAACGTGACGGCCACCAGTGTGGAGCCCTCACTGCCGCCACTCATGGGTGGAGCAAGCTCGTGCAGCACGAGGCTGACGCCAGGCGCGCCCTGCTGCAGGTGAGACACGCCTGGGGCTGTGTACGTGCAGCATGTGTGTGTGTGTGTGGTGTGTGTGTGTGTGCGTGTGTGTGGTGTGTGAGTGTGTGTGTGTGTGTGCGTGCGTGCGCGCATGTGTGCATGCATCTGTCTGCATAAAAAGATGACATCACTCAATCCGAATACACCCTGCACGTCTCCATAATCACTTCACTTCTCTCCTTCACATGTTTGCCTCAGGAGCATCACCAGCAGCAGCATCACCAGCAGCAGCAGCGGCAGCAGAAGGGGAAGGAGGGGGAAAGGAGGGAGGGGAGGAGGGGGGAGTGGCGGTGGACAGGGAGGACGCCCTGCGAGTGCTTGTGGACAACCGCCTGGGCGCCCCTCTCTACGCGCGCTCCGCCAAGGACGCCTTCGCCCACCTCTACACGCTGCCGCCCGCCCACACGTCGTCCGTGCCGCTGCCGCCCTTCCAGTTCCCCGACATGCTGCGCCCCTCCGCTGTTGCTGGTGTGGGCGGCAAGCGCCGGCACAGCACGCGGCGCTTCATGGCTCTGCGCCTCATTGAGGGGCTGGTGAGGCACACTGGGAGGCGGGCTAGAGGGGCTGGTGGGGCTGGTGAGGCGTATGGGAGGGTTTGGTGAAACGTGGTGGGATAAGGTTCGGGGCTAGGGCTGGGCTGGTGAGTCTAGATGGAGGGTATGGAGATGTGGGAGATGCTGGATGGAAGTGCGTATGGGGCCCCGGCCCGGTAGCGAGTTGCTCACACACTCACTCGCCACGTTCCTCTTGCCCTGGTCCGTCCTGCCCCACCAAGCTCTCCCCCTCGTCCTTACAGCCACCGTGCACACCTGCCACCCTTTGTGCCGCCCCAATGACTGCATGTGTGCAGGACCTACCGGGCAGCGAGTTGAACGGGGAGGACTTCATCTGCAAGCTGCGCGTGGCGCAGGCGGGCGCCCAGCCGCTGGCCAAGGGGCAGCAGCTGCCGCAGACTGCCCGCTCGCGCGCCATCCGCCCCGCAGGGGGCTGGCATGCCCGCATGCGCGCGAGGGCATGGGGTGTGCCATGCCACGAGGAGGGGCGCAGGGCGGAGCGGGAGAAGGGGGCGAGGGCGGGAGAGCAAAGCTGTGGCGAGTGCAGTGGAACGAGGTGTTTGTGTTTGAAGTGCCGGCCCAGGTTGTGTCTCTGTGTGTACGCGCGTCACTGCACTGCACGCACGTTCTTCACTGTACACCATGCGCACCACTGTACCACACACATGTACAGGGCTGGCCATCCCCTGTCCTGCCACCTGCCTGCCTGCATGCTGCTGTGCGCTCACATCCCTGCATGCTTCTGTGTGCCGTGTGCTGCCCTCCCTCCCCCCTGTGCGGTGGGGCATGGCATGGTGTGGGTGGGTGACTGGGAGGGTGGGAGCAGAAGGAGTCGCGGCTGGAGGTGGTGGTGAGCAACCAGGCGGCCAACGCAGGGCGAGGGGCCACGGTGGGCACGGCAGCTGTGCCCATGACTGCTGCCGCCGCGCCCACCCTCTCCGACTGGGCTGCCGTCACCGACGCCCTCGGCATCGGCGGTCTCCACCCCGCCTCCCAAGCCACTCAGCACACCCTGGTGCTGCACCCGCCAAGAGGAAGCAGCAGCAGCAGCAACAACAACAACAACAACAGCAGCAGGTAAGACATTAGAGTTCTGAGTTTGGCCACATTAGCCTGTCATCTGCCTTGTGCTCACTAACCTTTTCCCTCTCCACCTGCCACCACCCTGCCCGCCACCTGCTGCTGCCCGTGTGCACACAGGCCTCGCCTCGCCTGCGCATTGCAGCGGTCTTCTTCACCGTGGGCCCCAGCGGCCATCTGCTGGCCCACCAGCAGCAGCAAGAGAGGCGTTGGCAGAGGCCGGCCAGGAGCAGCCGGACTGTCTGATCCAGCTGGCGTGCCGCCCGGATGGCGAGTGGTGTTGGGTGCGCTCCATGGCCGGCATCATGACCCTGGCGCTCGCACTGGAGGGACGGCCTGTGGCAGCGGAGCTGGGGGTGCGGGGGGGCCTCAAGTGCGTGACGCTGCGCTCGCTGGTGCTGCTGCGCAACGCCACGGACGCGCCCGTGGACGTGTGTGTATGCCCCTTCGTGCTGCTCGACTTTGCAGACGAGGATGCGGAGGAGGAGGTGGAGGAGGAGATGTATGAGAACCAGCGGTACCAGCCCATGCTGGGGTGGGGCTCGCTGTGGCCCGGCCACTTCATGCCCGGCGACCCGGCGCGCTTCTCAGCGCTGGACCTCTCCCACGCGTGCCAGGACCTGCCCGAGGCGTGTCCGCGCGGGTGGGCGTGGGTGGGAGCGTGGCACCGCGACCAGGCAGCACCCGGCGACATGGAGGGGTGGCTGTACGCGCCCGACTTCCGCTCGCTGGCGTCACCCGACGCGCTGGCGAACGTGGCGCACAGCAAGGGCCCCTTTGACTTTGTGCGCCGCCGCCGCTTCACGCGCACGCGGCGCCGCCTGCCCCGCCCGTCGGGTGCGCCCAAGGAGCACGTGCGCACGGCCCTGGGACGCTGGCTCCCGGTGACTCCCTCTCGCTGCCCTTGGGGCTGCCTCTCCCCCGGCTCCGACTGGTGCCTGCAGGTTCGGCCCAAGGCTGCTGCAGGCTCGGCAGGCAGCAGCAAAGGGAGTGAGAAGTACGGGTGGAGCCGGCTGGTGCCTGGGGCGTCGGGCAGCGGTGGGGAGGGCAGTGCGGGGGCGGGCAGCAGGGCGGAGGCAGCGCGGCGGCAGCAGCTGGCGACAGCGTTTGTGCTGCCGGACCTAATGCGGGCGGCGTCGTGGGAGAAGGGCGGCAAGCGCGAGGAGCTGCTGCAGTGCCGCGGCACGCGCGGGTGCTGGTGTTCTGCCTGGAGGCGGATGGGGTGAAGCTGCAGGGCGGGGAGGGCATGGGGGCGGCGGGTGGTGTGGACTGGCGGGTGACGCTGCGGGCGCCACTGCAGCTGGAGAACCGGCTTCCATGCAGCGCGGAGTACTTCGTGTGGGAGAAGCCCAGCAGCAGCGCGGCCCAGGGGGCGGGCAGCATGGTGGGCGCGTCGCGGTCGGTGGCTCGGCAACATGGCGTGGTGGGGCCAGGCGAGGCGGTGCATGCGTACAGCATTGACATCCGCTGCCCCGTGCTGCTCTCCTGGCTGCCTCAGGGTGGCTGGAAGCAGGAAAAGGTGAGTGCAGTGCAGCAGCCCTTGCTGCCCATTAGTTGTTCTTCTTGTGCTCCTTTGGTTGCACTCCCCCTGCACCCCACTCCGCCTGCGAGTGCGTGCGTGCACAGCCAATCCACATGCTGCACACACTCCCCCCCCTTTTCTCCCCCTATGAGCGCACAGGATGCGGTGCTGCTGTGGGACCCGCTCACCCACGAGGTGCCGGGTGGCTTCTGGATGACCAACGTGCAGAACAAGCGGTGAGAGCAAATGGGGGTAGGCAGAGCAAGCAGTGTAGGAGGGGGGGCAGGAAGAGCAGGCGTGAGAGAGGGGGGCAGGAAGAGCTAGCAATTAGAGGAGAAGGGAAGGCAGAGGAGTGGGTGAGGTGTGCTTAAGAGGTAAAATTGGACACAAACGATGCGTCCTTTGCACTTTGCACCTTGTAGCTTGCAGCGGGTTCATCCGTTGCACCTGCAATCTCTGTGTCACTGCTGCATTCAGCCTTTCAAGCCACCCTTGTGCGCCCTCCCCCCACGTTGCAGGCGCCTGCATGTGAATCTGGAGGTGAGTGGCGGGCATCAGAGCATCAGCGCGGGTTGGTGCGGGTGTTTGTGCCCTTCTGGCTCGCCAACCACTCCTCCATGCCCCTCGCCTGCCGCATCGTCGAGATCGAGCCGCCCCGGGCGCACACCAGCAGCAGCGGCGGCAGCAGCGGAGTCGCTGTGGCAGATTCCACGCGCTCCCTCTCCTCGCGCCTAGCGCTCAGACCTCTCCGCCTCCGCCAGCACGCAGCCAGGCCGTGGCGGCGGCGGCGGCAGCGCCGGGGGTGGGGGCGGTGGGGGCGAGCAAGGTGGTGCGCAGCCTGGAGGAACATCGAGGAGGCCCCGCAGCAGCAGGCGTCATGCTCTCACTGCCACTCCGTGGCCAACGTGGGACTCGCTGTGGCGCTCTCCAAGCGGGGGCGTCCTTCAGCTCCGCCATCCCCCTCACCGCCTTCCAGGACAAGGTGCAATTGGCCCCCCCCCCCCATGTCACACAAAAGACAATTTGGACAAGTCGTGCGTCGGAGGGTGGTCTCTGGCTGTTTTTTGCCCACGTGATTGCCTGCATGGAAACACCCTTTTTAACTTCCGTCTCAACACTGTATGTGCTTACTCTCCCTTCCCTCAACTCCTTTCTTGCTTTCACCTGCCCTCCCCCCCTCCCCCCCTTCCCCCCCCCTCGCTCTTCCCTGCGCCATGCATGTCCTCCCTGGGGGCCGGGAGCAGATGGAGCGGGGCGGACCTCAAGGCGGTGGACGCAAGCAGGCAGTTATCTGCGCCTCTCGCTGTCCCTCGACATGTCCTCGCTGCGCTACGAAGGCACCAAGGTACCGCGCCCCTCTCACCCCCACCCACTTCACATGCACCAGAGGCCTCTCTGCATGGCTCTCCGTCTCGCTGCACTCACCTCCTCCTCCCCACAATGCACTTGCTCTCACGCTCCACGCTATCATGACTGTGTGCATCCCGTGCTCCCCATGCGCGTGTGTGTGTGGCTGGTGCCGGCTGGCAAGGTGATCCGCCTGCAGCCGCACACGGTGTTCTCCAACCACACCGGGCGGCCGCTGCACATCAGGCAGGCGGACGGCAACATCGTCCGGACACCTGGCGCCTGCTGATTCGATGAAGCCCATCGTGTGGGAGTCCATCTGGCTGGCTGAACACTTGCAGGTGGGTGCCATGGTGGCAGGTGGGTGCCATGGTGGCAGGTGGGTGCCATGGTGGCAGGTGGGTGCCATGGTGGCAGGTGGGTGCCATGGTGGCAGGTGGGTGCCATGGTGGCAGGTGGGTGCCATGGTGGCAGGTGGGTGCCACGTGGGCGGTGGGTGTTGCGTGGGCAGTGAGTGCAGGTTGGGTGATGCACAGCACAGCTGTTAGAATTGAACCAGTCACTTGATTAGGAACCATGAGGGTTTACATAGTGGAAGCTAGGGGAGGGGGGGTTGGTTGGTTACCTAGCCAACATTATTGGCCCCCCACCAATAAGTTGGGTTGGAGAATTATTGGGGGGTCCCAATAATGTTGGCCAAAGGTGGGCCAACATTATTAGGGGGGCCAATAATCTCCCAACCCAACCTTGGAGGCCACTAATTGGACCAAAGTTGGGTTCCAACCCCCAACTAGGGTTAACCCTAGTTGTGCACCCAAACATAGTTTGGGTGCCTATCTCTATCCTAGGGTTTATAGGATCAATGCAGGATACAGAAGAGTAGTATAGTCTAACACAACCCCTTAGCCTGCATAGATCCATAAACCTGGATGAGATAAGACAGCAACCCCTGAATCAGTCACCATGGGGAGCAAGGCCCAGGAGGGGCAAGAGTGCCGAGTGAGTAGCGCGGCCGAGGGCTTTAGTGAATATGTCCACGGGGTTGGAGGACGAGTCGATTTTGCGCACGGTAATGTGACCATCCTGGACAAGATCGCGGACGAAGTAGTGTCGGAGCTCGATATGCTTGGAGCGACCATGGGAACACAGCTTCTTTGGTGAGGTGGATGGTGCTGGCGTTGTCACACCAGAGAGTGGGACAGGGCTGTGGTGAGCCAAGGTCTGTGAGGAGATAGGTGAGCCAGCGTGCTTCCTGTGCTGCCATCGTGACCGCGTAAAGTTCAGCCTCGCACGAGGAGAGGGCGATGGAGGAGGAGCGGGTGGAGCGCCAGCTAATGAGGCCACTCCCAAGGGTGAAGCCATATCCTTGTGAGCTGCGACGGTCAGGCTGTGAGTCCGCCCAGGACGAGTGGCTGAAGCCAATGAGAACCGGCGGGTCTGCTCCACCAAGGGTGAGGGTGTAATCCTTCGTGTGCTGAAGGTAGCGTAGGACACGCCGGGCCGACGTCATGTGTTCCTCTGTGTGCCTGCCGACACCAACGAATCGCGCCAGAACACTGACTGGGTAGGCAAGGTGGGGGCGGGTGCAGACCATGGCGTACATCAGGGCCCCGACAAGCTCTGCATAGGGGTTTGAGGAGTCGGTGGGGGGTGTTAGGGGGCGCGAGCTGGTGCCCAACTGCAAGCGGGGTGGCGATGGGCTTGGCTTTTGACATTCCAAACCTCTCAAGGACCTTCTCAATGTAGAAGGATGAGAGAGGGAGATGGCCTTGAGGTCGCGGGTGATCTCCATGCCAAGGTAGTTGCGAACCTCCCCCAGGTCTTTGCAGGCGAGTCGACGCTGTAGTTCGTCCTTGACCTCCTGCATCTCAGCATATGTGTCAGCGGCTAGTAGCATGTCGTCGACGTAGACGAGAATGTAGAAAGGTGACGGAGCCGTCCGAAGGAAGAGGCTGGAGGCCGCTCGGGAGGGGCGAAAACCAAGCTCGTGAAGGGTGGAAGAGAGCTTGGCATGCCACTCCCGGGGTGCCCTGCTTGAGGCCGTAGACGGGCCGCAGCAGCTTCCAAACGGTGGACGGGTTATGTGGAGCATGAAAGCCTTCGGGGCGTTCCATGAAGATGAGTTCGTGTAGGTCGCCTTGGAGGAAGGCGGTAGTGACATCCATGGAGTGTAGCAGCATGCCGCGTCTGCCGACGAAGTCGAGGAACACCCGAACGACCGGTGGGGTAGCAGTGGGTGAGTATGTTTCAAAGAAGTCAAAGCCGTGCTTCTGCGTGAAGCCCTTCGCCACATAGCGAGCTTTGTAGACAGGGTCTTCGCCAGGGAGAAGCTTGACACGGAAGAGCCATTTGCCCTTGACGACATTGGTCTTGGCAGGGCGAGGGACATCGATGAAGGAGCGGTTGCGGATGAAGGCGTTGCTTTCCTTGACCATGACTTCAATCCAGAGCGGCGCGTCGAGGCAGGCAATTGCCTCCTCGTACGTGGTGGGTTCGAAGATGGTGGGGTTGCCCGAGAAGAGAAGAACTGGAGTGCCTGCCATGGTGCGGACGATGGGGGCGATGGAGGGCGCGAGGAGGTGGAGGAAGAGGAGTTCGTCGTGGGTGTCTTCATAGAGGAGAGGAGAGAGAGGAGGAGGAAGAGGGGGGTGGTGAAGATGCAAGACAGCTGCGCTGAAGGTCGAGTCTGCTACATGGAAGTGCTGCTGCTCGGCTGCGCGGTGGTGCTGTCAAGAGTGTGGAGCGGTTGCGCAGTGGATCTGGAGTGAGGGGGCTGAAGCGGGGGGGGAGGGAAGTACTGGTGAGGGCGAGGAGGGAGGGGGGGGAAGTCTGTGGGGAACCAAAGATGGGGTCCAGGGAGCGGGTGTTGGGATAGCGGGGAAGGACAAGGGTAGGGGAGGGGCGTTGGGGAAGAGGGGGGGGAGGCGGAGGGGGGGGGGCGGATTAGAGGAGGGGAGGGGGGATGGAGGGGAAGGGGGCGGGGGAGGTGGAGGAGGGGGAGGAGGAGGAGGGAGGTGAGTTGCAGCGGAAGGTGAGGTAGTGGAGTGGGAGGGGGAGGGGGGGGGTGGGTTAAGGATGTCGCCGGAGGAGCTGGAGGAGAGTGGAGGGGGGAGGGGTGGAGGAGCGGGGGGGAGGGGTCATGGCAGGGGACGGGAGGAGGGGCAGGGTGTCAGTCCAGAGAAGGGGCCGGGGAAATGGGGGAAGGGGGTTAGGGGCGGAGGGGGAGGTGTAGTACGGGGTGGCCTCGTCAAAGACCACGTCCCGACTACGGATGAGGCGGCCTGAGGGGGGGTGGAGGAAAAGGTAGTCAGGTGAGTTGGAGTTGTGTCCAAGGTAGACACAGGGGAGTGTGCGGGACGCAAGCTTTCCACGTGCGCGTGAGCGATCGGCAGGGTGTATGAGGACATACGCCTTGCAACCCCAGACACGCAGAGGAGATATGTCAGGCTTGCTGGAGGTCCATAGTTCGGTGGGGGTGGAGGTGGGACGGGAAGGGTGGGGGTAGAGGTTAGTGAGGATGGCAGCGTGAAGGATGGCATAGCCCTAAAGAGAAGGTGGGCAGGAGGCGTGAACGAGGAGGCACGAGCAGTTTTGGTGATCTCCCGAACGCGGCTCTCCGCCACACCATTCTGCTGAGGGGAAGTGAGGGAGAGTGTAGGTGTGGAGGATGCCGTGAGAGGTGTAGTAGGAGGACAAGGTGCGGTTAAGGAACTCACCGCCTCCATCGGAATGGAAGCGGCGAACAGGGCGACCGAAGTGGTTGCGTGCTTGTTCAGCCCAGGCAGGTGATTGCATCCGGGGCCTCCGCCTTCGTACGAAGGAGGGTGACGGAGGAGTAACGACTGTGATCATCCACCAGGATGAGGAGATAGCGATGTCCTTGCCTGGTGGGGGAAGGGTTAGGGCCCCAAAGATCCATGTGGACGAGGTCAAGGGGTTGGAGGGAAAAGGAGGGGTTACTCGTGTGTGGTTGTTGCTTCAGCTTGCTTTCAACACAAACTGAGCAAGGAGGGGAGGGGGAAGGAGGGAGGGGGGAAAGGGTAAGGGGAGACCGTCAAGGAGTTTAGTGAGGATGGATCGGCGAAGGGTGGCAAAGTTGGGATGGCCTAGGCGATGGTGGAGGAGAATGGTGGGGTGTGTGAGATCACGACAGTGACAGGGGGAGGGTGAGTTGGGGGAGGGGGAGGGGGAGGGGGAGGGGGAGGGGGAGGGGGAAGGGGGGAGGGGGGGGCGGGAGGTTCGAGAGGAGGGGAAGGGGCGGGGGGATGGGCTGTGGAGAGTTGGTGAAGCGTGGGACGGGGGATGCGGAAGGTGTACATGTGGGTGGAGGGGCACCGATGGACACGGCAGAGGAAGCGTCCGGAGGAGGTGTGAAATAAGTCACAATATGCTGCGTGACCAGGGAATAAGGTGGTGACACCTGCTGTTGAAAGGGCACCAAGGGATAACAGGTTGTTACGAAAGGAGGGGATATTGAGACCTGTGACGGTACCTGAGGGAAAGAGGGGACAGGGGAGTGTGGAGGTGTAACGGCTTTGTATGGCAAAGCTTGAGTCAGCCCCATAGATTGTGGAGGGGGTGGAGAGGGGGAAGAGCGTGCCTGCATCACGAAGGACCGTGTGTGTGGCTCCGCTGTCAAGGATGAACTCAAAGGGCTGAGGGGAGGAGGAGGACACGGAGTACTGGAATGAGGACTCATTAATAGCATTGGCATACATAGGATCATTGCAAGAGCTAGCAGTAGTGACATGACCTATGAAGCCCGTGGAAGGAAACGGTGTGAAGCCGGGGGGGTGAGAGGAGGAGGTGGGTTGTTCAGCAGCTGCGGCAGTTGCAGCAGTTGCGGTAGTTCCATGGCCATACATAGATGGGCAGTAGGGAGGGTAGGGCCAGCCGGCATAAGGAGGATAGAGAGGAGGATAGGGGGAGGGAGGGGTTTGAGGTGGGGGCGTGGGTGGAGGCGGAGTGATGGGGATGGAGGGCGTGGGGGTGGTGGTGGGTGTGGGGAGAAGGTGTTGGACTTGCTGGAGGACGTGAGGGGAGAGGTGCTGAGCGAGGACATTATGGAGGTTAGGTGGAGAGGGAGCATAGGTGGAGAGAGTGCGAATGTCATGAGGGGTGGGGCGAGGGGTGATGGTGTTCCAACGTGGAGGGGGGCCTGTGTTGCTGCGTGCAAGCCATTCATCAGTGAGGGCTTTGAAGCACGTTTCAGTTGGGTGAGTGGTCTGGTTGCAGGTCTGACCTTTGTTGGGGCCTTGACGAATGACGTACTGGCACGGGGGAAACCCACTTGTGGATGGAGTAGTTGCTCCACGTCTGCCGCGTTCCCCAGTGCGCCCTCCTCGTCCGCCTCCGCGACCGCCTCCTCGACCACCTCCGTTTGAGCCACGTCCAGGTCCACTGCTGCTGCTTCCGCCGGCGTTAGTGGTTCCTTTGCGAGCGTGGATTGCATTGACCGTTGCAGAGTCACGTAGGAGGTCAGCCTCACTGTCAAGGAGCCAGTCGATGGTAACAGCCATAGGAGGAGGACGAATGTGCTGGGTGGTGAAGTTGATGCGGTAAGTGTCATAGGTGGGTGGGAGGCTGTCAAGGATGCGTGCTGTAAGAAGGGTGTGTGAGATCAAGATGCCTCGATCATTGAGGCGTTGCGCAGTATCCGTGAGATGCCGAGCGAAGGAGGCGGCATTGAGGGAGGAGTCAAGGGTGATGTCTTGGAAGGTGCGAAAGAGGGAGAGGAGGGAACGTAAGTCCTGACGATCATATTGAGAGGAGAGAGACTTCCAAAGAGAGGGGGAGGATGGAGGGCGAAGGTCACGTTTAAGAGAGGAGGGAATGCACGAGAAGATGACAGTGAGTGCACGGTGGTCAGCAATGCGCCATGCAGCAGTATCGGAGTGGTGCTTACGAAGGTTAGTAGAGTATGCTTCGGAGGTGGCTTGAAACTCTGCAAGCTTTGCAGTAGCAGCTTCGTGAGCGGCGACGGCAGCCGCGTGTGCTCTGCCCTTGATGACATAGTCGTCCTGCTCCTTGTTGTACTTGTTGAGGGTGCGAGCCCACCTGTCTGGGTCATCCTCCCAAGCCCCTAGGATGGGGGCTTGAGGGGCGGGTTCGTCCGGGAGTGGTGGGGCGTCAGGGGGGGAGGAGCCTGGGAGCGGGGGCGGGGTGGGAGGGAGGCCGTGAGGCGTTTCGAGGACGACGTCAAGGAGGCAATAATCTCCCACTCGAACGGAGCCAAGGTACGTGAAGAGGCTCTCTTCAAACGACACCCAATTGACTGCGGTGGTGCCGTTGAGGAGCTCGAGTTTGTCTATTGAGGCGAGCTCAAGTGACGAAGGTTCGTCCGCCATGACGAGTGAGGGAGGGAGGGAGGAGGGGAGGGTGGAGGTGCTAGAGGTGACGACGCTGTCCGGAGGGACGGCGCGATCAGTGGTGGAGATGAGCTGCGTGCTGTCCGCAGCTGGTTACTCCCCCGTCTGGTCGCGTTCACGGCTGCTGCCTGCGTCCACGGCGGCTGCCCGCGTTCGTCCCGTCCGCGGCGGCTGTCCGCGGATGTCGCGTCTGCGGCGGCTGCCCGTGTTCGTCCCGTCCGCGGCGGCTGTCCGCGGATGTCGCGTCCGCGGCGGCTGCCCGCGTTCGCCCTGTCCGCGGTGGCTGTCCGCGGATGTCGCGTCCGCGGCGGCTGCCCGCGTTCGTCCCGTCCGCGGCGGCTGTCCGCGGATGTCGCGTCCGCGGCGGCTGCCCGCGTTCGCCCCGTCCGCGGCGGCTGTCCGCGGATGTCGCGTCCGCGGCGGCTGCCCGCGCTCGCCCCGTCCGCGGCGGCTGTCCGCGGATGTCGCGTCCGCGGCGGCTGCCCGCGCTCGCCCCGTTCGCGGCAGCTGTCCGCGTTCGTCGCGTCCGCGGCGGCTGTCCGCGTTCGTCGCGTCCGCGGCTGACGGCCGCGTTCGTCGCGTCCGCGGCTGACGGCCGCGTTTGTCGCGTCCGCGGCTGACGGCCGCGTTCGTCGCGTCGGCGGTTGACGGCCGCGTTCGTCGCGTCCGCGGCTGACGGTCGCGTTCGTCGCGGCGGATGGTCGAGGCGAGGAGAGGAGCGCCGAGATGGCGCGAGGGGCACGGCAGAGCCGGCGGACGTGCGCTAAGAAGCGCGAGGGGCGCGGCAGAGCCGGGGAGATGTGCGCTTAAGTGGCGCGAGAGACGCGGCAGAGCCGGGGAGAGGTGCGCTAAGTGGCGCGAGAGGTGCGCTAAGTGGCGCGAGAGGTGCGCTAAGGGGCGCGAGAGGTGCGGCAGAGCCGGCGAGAGGTGCGCTAAGTGGCGCGAGGGGTCCTAGGATCTTGAGCGGCGTTAGCCGTAAAAGCTCTGATAGCATGTTAGAATTGAACCAGTCACTTGATTAGGAATCATGAGGGTTTACATAGTGGAAGCTAAGAGAGGGGGGGTTGGTTGGTTACCTAGCCAACATTATTGGCCCCCCACCAATAAGTTGGGTTGGAGAATTATTAGGGGGGTCCCAATGATGTTGGCCAAAGGTGGGCCAACATTATTGGGGGGGCCAATAATCTCCCAACCCAACCTTGGAGGCCAATAATTGGACCAAGGTTGGGTTCCAACCCCCAACTAGGGTTAACCCTAGTTGTGCACCCAAACATAGTTTGGGTGCCTATCTCTATCCTAGGGTTTATAGGATCAATGCAGGATACAGAAGAGTAGTATAATCTAACAACAGCATGGGTCATGGATCTCCTCCACCTTCCTTGTGCCTCCCCACTTCATGCCTTTCTTCTCCTATCTGCCTGCTGGCTTTGCCTCCGCCCTCATCCGACTCTCTCGAGTCCCACTCCCACCCTCAGGTGCGCATGGACGGTTGTGATTGGAGCCGCCCATTCTCAATCGACGGCGATGGCAGTGTCTTCGTTGTCATGCGCCATGCCGTGCAACCCAGCCGCCCACCCTCCATAGGACGGGCGGCGTGGGACGGCAGTGGGCGGCGGGGGCGGGAGCTGCTGCTGGCGGATGTGGTGGATGGCGCCAGTGCATGCCGCTACCATGTCGTCTTCACACTCGCTCCCCCCTATGGGCCCTACAAGTCAGTCTCCCCTTTTCCATCGACCCGACATCTCATCTCAGTTCAAGTTCCGGTGTACAATCAAGTGTGGCCCTACATTAGGTTCGCTCAATCGTTTTGAAGTTACTGTTGATGCAATTATCAGTCTGCTATATCCCTATATTCAAGACACTTTCTACCAATCATTGATGTCCTTCCTGCCCTTGCACTTCTCTCCGCATGTCAATCCGCCCGCCTGCCCTCCCCCTCGCAGGATAGAGAACCGCTCGCAGCTATTCCCGGTGCGGTACCGGCAGGCGGGGGCGGGGGACGAGGCGTGGGAGGCGCTGGCGGTGGGGGCGGCCAAGTCGTTTGCGTGGGAGGACGGGCGCGGGCTGCGCCTGCTGGAGCTCATGGTGGACGGCGCACACTCCTCCACGGCGCGCCGCGTGGCCATCGACGACCCCGCTGTGCTCGAGCCCGCCACCAACGCCTCTGGCCGCCCCGTCGCGCCGCTGCTCGTCACCGTCGCCCGAGAGCCCGCTCCGTCGGGTGGGGGGTGTGTGATGCGCGTGTGCCTGCACGACTGGCGCCCCTCCGACCCCTCCCTTGTCCACCTCGCCCTCTCCCTCACGCCCTCCTCCCTCCTCACCGCGCCTCCCCCTGCCCTCACGGTGGGGAGCGAGGGGTCCAGCGCGGTGGCGACAGCAGAGGGGGCGGGGGGCGGAGGGGAGCGGCGGGTGGTGGTGGTGGTGGAGGTGGAGGAGTGTGGCGTGTCAGTAGTAGACGCCACCCCCGAGGAGCTGCTCTACATCTCCATGACCGGCGCCCTGCTCTCCCTCGACTCCACCGCCCCCTCCTCCGCACGCCCAGGCACCTCGGGGGGGAGTGGGTCGGGTGGGGTGAGCCGGGTGAAGCTGCAGGTGGGGCATCTGCAGATTGACAACCAGCTGGCTGTGACGGCCATGCCCGTGTTGCTGGCACCTGAGGATCCACCTGGGGTGGTGCAGCCATACGTGCTGAAGCTCACTGTGGCCATGCGGCCGGCACGGGACGAGGATGAGCAGTCGTTCCCTTACATCGGCCTGCAGGTACTGCCTCCCCACCTCACACACGCCTCCATAGCATCGTCTTCTGCGTTCTTTTCCTAACCTCTCGCCTTGCCCTCTCCCATGCCCCCTTCTCGCCTGTTGGAGCCCCAAAACCAACCAAGAATGTGGACCTCCCTCCCTCCCCACCCCCCTCTGCTAGCTACCGAGTGCCGCCTGGCTGGTGAACATCCACGAGCCAATCATCTGGCGTCTCGCTGACATGGTCAAGCGCCTCTCCGCCCACCGCCTCGACGCCCCCCCGCAACCCACCTCCGTCTCCCTCGACCCGCGCGTGCACGTCGGGTGAGAGCAGTGCACATGTTGGGTATTCACGTCTCACGTGTTGACATGACCTGCCTGGAACACTGGTGGAAAGACGAATTACCAAAAACAATTCTGGCAGGGCTTGTAGCATGCAGTGAGGAATGGTGTTCCAACTGGAAGCCTGCTTGAATTTGGGTCTCCATTCTGCTTGCTGCAGTCCGCACTGCCTCACCCCACCCATTTCTATGTGCATGCGTATGCGTGGGTGTGGGCAGGCTGCTGAACATCTCGGAGGGGCGGCTGAAGCTGACGATGGCCATGTCCCCGCTGCACCGCCCGCGCTACATGATGGGCTTCTGGACGTCCGTGCTCACCTCCATGGGCAACACCGATGAGATGCCGGTGAGCCTCCATGGGCAACACCGATGAGATGCCGGTGAGCCTCACACCACTGCACACGTGCCGGTGAGAGTATGGGAGTGACATGCAGGTGAGGTGGCATGGCTACGGTCACGATCAAACCATCTTGTTTTCACAATGCTTGCCATCTTCTTCAGTGCACCCTCTCACTTCTCACTCAACCCCCCCCCCCCTCCTCTGTGCCGGCCAGATCCGCCTGTCCCCGCGGGTGCGGGAGGGGGTGGTGTTGCGGCGCAGCCAGGTGTGGGCGGAGGCGTGGCGCAGTGTGAGCAACGACCTGCTGGCGCAGCCGTTCCGCCTGCTGTCGGGGCTGGACGTGCTGGGCAACGCCAGCAGCGTGGTGGGGCAGGTCAGCAAGGCCGTGGCGGGCATGAGCATGGACCGCGCCTTCATCCGCGCGCGCCACAAGCACGACGCCAAGGCCGCCGTCGGCTCGCTGGGCGACGGGCTGCGCGAGGGCGGGGAGGCGCTGGCCAAGGGGCTGTTCCGCGGGGTCACGGGCATCCTCACCAAGCCCATTGAGGGCGCGCGCGACGGCGGCGTGGAGGGCTTTGTGGCGGGCATGGGGCGCGGGCTGATCGGTGCGGCGGCGCAGCCGGTGAGCGGCGTGCTGGACCTGGTGAGCAAGACCACGGACGGCGTCAACGCCGAGCGCGCGCGCCTCTCCGCCGCCATGACTGCCAAGCTCGCTCTGCGCCGCCGCCGCCTGCCGCGTGCCATCCGCGGCGACCACGTGGTGCGGCCATATGATGAGTACGCGGCGCGCGGGCAGAGCATCCTGCAGCTGGCGGAGTGGGGCGCGCTGACGGGCGCGAGCGTGTTTGACATCCGAGAGAAGGGCAAGTTCGCCCTCAGCGACGCGTACGAGGACCACTTCCACCTGCCGGCGCGCCGCATCCTCATGATCACCCACCAGCGCACCATGCTGCTCGAGGTAAGTGGCGGGAGGGGGGGTGTGGGGGGAAATGGAGAGGGGTGGGAGGGAGGACGGAGGGAGCTGGTGTTTGTTAGGTGCACGGAGATGGGAGTGGGAAAGAAGGGGGGTAGAGGGGCGAGATGGCTTAACGGGGGAGCTGGTGTTTGTTGTGGGTGCACAAGATGGGTTGTAACAAATTGTTAAGGCACAAGGGTCAAATGGGTTAAATTATGTGAGATTTGACGGGGCACGTGGTGCGAAGGTTAGCAAGTGATCACATGGCTGGTGGTTCGTGGGAACTCTGATCCAACATGTGCTGTGCTCCCCTCCCACTGCTCTTGCCTGCATGTGCTGCAGCAACCGGGCGGTGGAGCGCTGGCAGGGGGGCGCAAGCCGGACCTGACTCGGGAGGCGTGCAGCATCGTGTGGGCCGTGGCGTGGGGCGACCTGCTGTCTCTGGAGGTCATGCGCGGCCGCGATGAGCCGCCCTCCGCCCCGCCGTCACGTGTTGTGCTGCATCTGCGGGAGTGGTCAGCAGACGTGCGGCTGCTGGACGCCAAGGAGATCGCCCGCGTGGTGCTGTGCCAGGCAGGCACGGAGCAGGCACAGCAAGTGCGAGACGCCATCCAGCGCGCCCTCGACCAGTTCGGCCCCGATCGGGCCACCGTCGCCGCTCAGGTGCCACTGCTGTGCCTGCTCAGGTGCCACTGTTGTGCCTGCTCAGTTGCCTAATTATACAGCCAGTGAGTCATCTCGGTGTGAGCTTCTCCATCCCTCGCCCCCCCATCCCCTTCCTGGTCCTCCCAGACGCGCAAGCGGCGGCAGGAGAGTCGGCCGTACACGGGGGCAGGGGCGGGGGCGGCGTCTGGGGCGGCGTTGGGGCTGCTGGCAGGGCCAGCAGCGCCGGTGGTGGTGCCGGTGATGGCGACGTTTGGAGCGCTGGTGGGCGGCGCGGGGCAGGTGATGCTGGAGGCCGACAGCCACGGCGACCTCGCCTCCCCTTCCTCCCGCCACCGCCCCTCCCTCGCTGCTCCTGCCTCCGGCCCCGCTCGGCCGCGTGCCATGACGGGCAGAGGCAGCTTCGGGGACGTGGTAGGGGCGGACGTGAATGGGCCGCCTGCCATTGTGGTGAAGGCATTCAAGCTGATGTGGTGGGACAAGGTGAGAGGCATTCAAGCTGATGTGGTGGGACAAGGTGAGAGGCATTCAAGGTGATGTGGTGGGACAAGGTGAGAGGCATTCAAGCTGATGTGGTGGGACAAGGTGAGAGGCATTCAAGCTGATGTGGTGGGACAAGGTGAGAGGCATTCAAGCTGATGTGGTGGGACAAGGTGAGAGGCATTCAAGGTGATGTGGTGGGACAAGGTGAGAGGCATTCAAGGTGATGTGGTGGGACAAGGTGAGAGGCATTCAAGCTGATGTGGTGGGACAAGGTGAGAGGCATTCAAGCTGATGTGGTGGGACAAGGTGAGAGGCATTCAACGTGATGTGGTGGGACAAGGTGAGAGGCATTCAAGCTGATGTGGTGGGACAAGGTGAGAGGCATTCAAGCTGATGTGGTGGGACAAGGTGAGAGGCATTCAAGCTGATGTGGTGGGACAAGGTGAGAGGCATTCAAGCTGATGTGGTGGGACAAGGTGAGAGGCATTCAAGCTCATGTGGTGGGACAAGGTGAGAGGCATTCAAGCTCATGTGGTGGGACAAGGTGAGAGGCATTCAAGCTCATGTGGTGGGACAAGGTGAGAGGCATTCAAGCTCATGTGGTGGGACAAGGTGAGAGGCAATTAAGCTGAAGGTGGCAGCAGGGCGTGCATGTGTGTGAACTGATGTGGTTGCCCCCCTCCTTGACCCCCCCCTTCCCCGCCCCCATGGTGCAGGGAGCGGTGTGGAGCCAGAAGTTCCCCGTATCCATCTGGCGCCCCATCCTGCGCCCAGGGTGAGTGAGGGCACCACTGGTGGGAGGTGGGGTCAGTGCGAGCAGCATGGTGGGATGAGTGCGAGCAGCACGGCGGGATGAATGCGGTGGGATGAGTGAGAGCAGCAGCGGCTAGAGAAATTTCCGAGCTTTTCTGACAGTAACCTTGAGTCGCTTGTCACTTGTTGTGTCTATGCTGCCTTCCTTGCTCATCCTCCCTCGTGCTACCTCTGCCCTCTCTCTCAACATTGCCTGCTTCTGCCCTAATCCTTCTGCCCCCAAGCTTCTCCTTGCCCCTTTTGCTGCGCTGCGCCACGGCAGGTATGTGTCGGTGGGGGACGTGGCAACACCAGGGTACGACCAGCCGGTGAGGAGCACCGTCTATCTCGACACCGGCGCCGGCAAGTTCGCTCCGCCTCTCGGCTTCGATCTGGTCAGCCATCTCTCCGCTCTCCGCTCTCCCCTCTCCGCTCTCCGCTCTCCTCTCTCCGCTCTCCGCTCTCCTCTCTCCGCAACCCTCTGCCGCAACCCTTTCCCCCCCACGCTGCCTCCACCCCCTGCTACGCGACAAACAAGGTTAGCCACGTCACCTCCCCTGTAACTTACGCCCCCCTCCTTCCCCCCCCACCCCTCGTGTGCTTGCTGGCAGGTGTGGCGGGACACAGACAGCGGGGCGTGCACGCCGGTGACAATCTGGGCACCGAGGGCGCCGGAGGGGTATGTGGCGGTGGGGTGCGTGGCGGTGCCCGACTACTACGAGCCCGACCGCAGCGCCGTGGCGTGCGTGGCGGCGGGCGCAGTGGGCGCGGCGGAGCTGGGGCGGCTGCCCATATGGCGCGACCGCAAGGGCGCAGCGCTGTGGAAGTGCAGCCTGTGGCAGGTGCACAACGCCGCGCGCACCTTCCTGGCACGGCGCGACCATGAGAGCCCACCACCAGGCATGGCCTTTGATGTGAAGGTGGAGGACACACACACAGATGCACGCAGTGCCACCTTCGTGCACACAGGGTAGATGCTCACACGCATGATCTGTCCACATCTAAGCTCCTCACGATAGGTGAAACCATTTAGGTGCATTCCACAAACGCTGTATCCTAATCTGAGCTGTCAAAACGCATGAACTATAGAACTGCAGTGCAGTCATTATACCGTAAATGTGAGTTTGAAAAAGTCATGCTTCCTGAATAATGATGTAACATGGGCCATGTTACATGGCCCAATTTCTTATGTTGGCCAGTAGTAGATACTAAGGTAGTAGACCACATATGACATTTTATGGTACCGTCACCCCCCGGATATAAGCGCCACCCTAGGATAAGCGCCTGGCGCTTCTAATTGGCATATGGCGCTTATATCCCCTCCTCGATTATAAGCGCACCCCCTGAAAAAACTAGTTTTATTATAAGCGCACGTAAACTTTAAAATTTGAAATGTGTACAAAACGTTGTAATGATTTTTACTTTAGCAGGCAGATATGTTGCACATTCGGTTCCCTTCACATTCGGACCCTGCACTGGATGCGGGTCCAGTCAGCAGGAGCTGTCAGGAGCTGCCAGGAGCTGGATGTGAGTCAGATTGGGTGTGTCTCCCAGCGCGCGCGAGAATTTCACAGACGACCCCATGTAACTTCGACTCGATTGAAAGGGCAAGCACGAGACCTACAGTTTGGTGTTCAAAAATAAAAAAAAATATGAATGTCATTTTATTAACGCCGGCGCTTATAAATTTACTCGATTATAAGCCCACCCCCTTGAAAAAACCTGTTTTATTATTGCCCCCCATGGGGGTATATCCGGGGGGTGACGGTATGTGCGTATATGTTCGATTCGAGCAATGGTATCCAAATGTACGTAGTGTTAGAACCAGGGCCCAAAATTGGTTTAGGCCTACCCTTACAAGTCAGGGTTCCAGCCCCTCCTTACCCCGACCCCTAGGGTAAATTTTTTCGTACCCTGTTTGCAGCAGGGTCAATCAACCACTAGCCTGATTTGAACAGGGTAGTTTTAGGCCAACCCTGTTTCAGTTAGTATTTTGTGAGCTAAGTTATTTACCATGACATACCGTAATAAAGTAGCACTCACAAAGTCCATGAGCTCTGGAAGAGCATCACATTCACAACACACCTACTCAGTGCCACCCCCACTGCCTACTACTTCTACAAACTGGGTGTCGCCTCATTGGGTGAAACAACCAATGAGGCGACATGGCTAGGCCTCTCGATAGGATTTGGGGTACTCTTACTCGTAAGACCAGTTAGTTGGAGTTGGTCTTTCAGTAAGGGTGCGTCAACCATGTCAGTCTTTTTTATCAGTGTCAGCTGGAAAGGTACTGTTACTCTTCAGTGTACACATTGTTTTCACCCTTTCATGTTTAGATTAAAGCGTTACATATAAAAGAAGGCACAAACTAACAGAGCAGCTAGAGCACCAGCGCCTAGTTTTAACAGAATAAGCTGAGCAGTGAGCACACAAGTTAATACGGTACAGGAACTCCTGAGCTGGGCAGCCCTTCTTGCTAGCATTGAACATTGCTATGCACGAGCCCCGCGAGTGAAACTCGACTCAGGTTGCCGCCACTTCTTCAGTGCCTAACCGGAAACAGATTTCAGCTTCTTGGCATCAGAGTCGTCAGCAGCAGCAGTATATGTTACATGTGTCGTCGCTTTTCGTGGTGCCAATTCAGACGTCGTGGTGCAGGTCACGCCCCACTTCAGGGTTTAGGGTTTAGGGTTTCGGGTTTAGGGTTCACCCTCCACCTCCACGTCCATGTCCACGTCCACGTCCACGTCCACGTCCACGACCACGTCAACGTCCACGTCCACGTCCACGTCCAAGTCCACATCCACGTCCACGTCCACAACCACGTCAACGTCCACGTCCACGACCACGTCCACGACCACGTCCACGTCCACGACCACGTCCACGTCCACGTCCACGTCCACGTCCACGTCCACGTCCACGTCCAAGTCCACGTCCAAGTCCTCCACGTCCATGTCCATATCCACCTCCACGTCCACGACCACGTCCACGTCCACGTCCACGTCCCCGTCCACGTCCACGTCCACGTCCAAGTCCACGTCCAAGTCCTCCACGTCCACGTCCATATCCACCTCCACGTCCACGTCCACGACCACGTCCACGTCCACGTCCACGTCCACGTCCACGTCCAAGTCCTCCACGTCCACGTTCATATCCACCTCCACGTCCACCTCCACGTCCACGTCTGTGTCCACGTCCACGTCCACGTCCAAGTCCACGTCCACGTCCACGTCCACGTCCAGGTCCACGTCCACGTCCACGTCCACGACCACGTCCACGTCCAGGTTCACGTCCACGTCCACGTCCACAACCACGTCCATGTCCGTGCCACGTCCACGTCCACGCCCACGTCCACGTCCACGTCCATGTCCACGTCCACGCCCACGTCCACGACCACGTCCACGTCCACTTCCATGTCCACGTCCACGTCCACAACCACGTCCACGTTTACGTCCATGACCACGTCCACGTCCACGTCCATGTCCACGTCGACGTCGACGTCCACGTCCACGTCCACGTCCACGTCCTCGTCCACGACCACGTCCACGTCCACGACCACGTCCACGTCCACGACCACGTCCACGTCCACGACCACGTCCACGTCCACGTCCACGTCCACGACCAAGTCTACGTCCACGACCACGTTGACGTCCACGTCCACGACCACGTCCACGTCCTCGTCCACGACCACGTCCACGTCCACGTCCACGACCACGTCCACGTCCACGTCCACGTCCACGTCCACATCCACGTCCAAGTCTACGTCCACGTCCAAGTCCACGTCCACGTCCACGTCCATGTCCACGACCACGTCCACGTCCACGACCACGTCCACGTCCACGTCCACGTCCTCGTCCAAGTCCAAGTCCACGTCCACGTCCATGTCCACGTCCACGTCCACGTCCATGTCCACGTCCACGTCCACGTCCACGACCACGTCCACGTCCACGTTTACATCCACGACCACGTCCACGTCCACGTCCACGTCCACGTCCACGATCACGTCCACGTCCACGTCCACGTCCACGTCCACGTCCACGACCACGTCCACGTCCACGTCCACGTCCACGTCCTCGTCCAGGTCCACGTCCGCGTCCACGTCCACGTCCAGGTCCACGTCCACGTCCACGTCCACGACCACGTCCACGTCTGTCAGAGGTCCACTGGTGATCCCCCATTGATCCTAGGGAAGGGTTACAGGCACGGTTGCCTGGGGGGTTATGGGCGCACTGACTTGCTACTGAAACAAGCACTTTTATCCCAATGGTCTTGTGGTTGGGATTCTGAGATGGTATCAGAGCGAAGGTCTCGGGTTCGAATCCCGGTGTGTGCACTTCGGGCATCCCAGTGAGGGGGGGTGTCAGAGGTCCACTGGTGATCCCCGATTGATCCTAGGGAAGGGTTACAGGCACGGTTGCCTGGGGGGTTATGGGCGTACTGACCCGCTACTGAAACAAGCCCTTTTATCCCAATGGTCTAGTGGTTGGGATTCTGAGAACGTCGACGTCCACGTCCACGTGCACGTCCAGGTCCACGTCCACGTCTACGTCCACGACCACGTCCACGTCCACGTCCACGTCCAAGTCCACGTCCACGTCCAAGTCCACGTCCACGTCCAGGTCCAGGTCCACGTCCACGTCCACGTCCACGACCACGTCCACGTCCACGTCCACGTCCACGACCACGTCCACGTCCATGTACACGTCGACGACCACGTCCACGTCCACGTCCACGTCCACGTCCACCACCACGTCCAGGTCCACGACCACGTCCACGTCCACGTCCACATCCACGACCACGTCCATGTCCACGTCCACGTCCACGTCCACGTCCACGACCACGTCCACGTCCACGTCCACGTCCACGTCCACGACCACGTCCATGTCCTTGCCACGACCACGTCCACGTCCACGACCACGTCCACGTCCACGTCCACGTCCACGTCCACGACCACGTCCACGTCCACATCCACGTCCACGTCCACGTCCAAGTCCACGTCCACGTCCACGTCCACGACCACGTCAACGTCCACGTCCACGACCACGTCCACGTCCACGTCCAAGTCCAAGTCCACGTCCAAGTCCACGTCTACGTCCAGGTACACGTCCACGTCCACGTCCACGTCCATGTCCACGACCACGACCACGTCCACGTCCACGACCACGTCCACGTCCACGTCCACGTCCAAGTCCACGTCCACGTCCAGGTCCACGTCCACGTCCACGACCATGTCCACGTCCACGTCCAAGTCCACGACCAGTCCACGTCCAGGTCCACGTCCACGTCCTTGCCACGTCCACGTCCACGTCCACGTTCAAGTCCACGTCCACATCCAGGTCCACTTCCACGTCCACGTCCACGACCACGTCCACGTCCACGTCCACGTCCAGGTCCACGTCCACGTCCACGTCGACGACCACGTCCACGTCAACGTCCACGTCCACGTCCACGACCACGTCCACGTCCACGTCCACGTCCAAGTCCACGTCCAAGTCCAGGTCCACGTCCAGATCCACATCCACGTCCACGTCCACATCCACGTCCACGTCCAAGTCCGAGTCCACGTCCACGTCCACGTCCACGTCCACGACCACGTCCACGTCCACGTCCACGTCCACGTCCAAGTCCACGTTCAAGTCCACGTCCAGGTCCAGGTCCACGTCCACGTCCACATCTACGTCCACGACCACGTCCACGTCCACATTCACGTCCACGTCCACGTACAGGTCCACGTCCACGTCCACGTGTCCAGGTCCACGTCCACGTCCACGTCCAAGTCCACGTCCACATCCACGACCACGTCCACGTCCACGTCCACGTCCACGTCCACATCCACGTCCTCCACGTCCACGTCCACGTCCACGTCCACGTCCACGTCCTCCACGTCCTCCACGTCCACGTCAACGTCCTCCACGTCCACGTCCACGTCCACGTCGACGTCCAAGTCCACGTCCACATCCAGGTCCACGTCCACGTCCACGTCCTGGTCAACGTCCACGTCCACGTCCACGTCCACGACCACGTCCACGTCCACGTCCACGACCACGTCCACGTTCACGTCCACGTCCACGTCCGCGTCCAAGTCGACGTCCACGTCCACGTCCACGTCCACGTCCACGTCCACGACCACGTCCACGTCCACGTCCACGTCCTCCATGTCCACGTCCACGTCCACGTCCACGTCCTCGTCCACGACCACGTCCAGGTCCACGTCCTTGCCACGTCCACGTCCACGTCCTCCACGTCCACATCCTCCACGTCCACGTCCACGTCCATGTCCACGTCCACGTCCAAGTCCACGTCCACATCCAGGTCCACGTCCACGTCCACGTAGACGTCCATGTCCACGTCCACGTTCACGACCACGTCCACGACCACGTCCACGTCCACGTCCATGTCCACGTCCACGTCCACGTCCAAGTCCACGTCCAAGTCCACGTCCAGGTCTAGGTCCACGTCCACGTCCACGTCTACGTCCACGTCCACGACCACGTCCACGTCCACGTTCACGTCCACGTCCAGGTCCACGTCCACGTCCACGTCCAGGTCCACGTCCAGGTCCACGTCCACGTCCACGTCCAAGTCCACGTCCACGACCACGTCCACGTCCATGTCCACGTCCAAGTCCACGTCCACGTCCTCCACGTCCACGTCCACGTCCACGTCCACGTCCACGTCCAGATCCACGTCCTTGTCAAGTCCACGTCCACGTCCACGACCTCCACGTCCACGTCCACATCCAGGTCCACGTCCACGTCCACGTCCTGGTCCACGTCCACGTCCACGTCCACGACCACGTCCACGTCCACGTCCACGTCCACGTCCACGACCACGTCCACGTCCACGTCCACGTCCACGTCCAAGTCCACGTCCACGTCCACGTCCACGTCCACGTCCAGGTCCACGTCCACGTCAACGTCCACGATCACGTCCACATCCACGTCCACGTCCACGTCCACGTCCAGGTCCACGACCACGTCCACGTCCACGACCACGTCCACGTCCACGTCCAAGTCCACGTCCAAGTCCAGGTCCACGTCCAGGTCCACGTCCACGTCCACGTCCACATCCATGTCCACGTCCACGTCCACGTCGACGTCCAAGTCCAAGTCCATGTCTACGTCCACGTCCACGTCCACGACCACGTCCACGTCCACGTCCACGTCCACGTCCAAGTCCACGTCCAGGTCTACGTCTACGTCCACGTCCACGTCCAGGTCTACGTCCACGTTCATGTCCACGTCCACGTCTAGGTCCACGTCCACGTCCACGTCCAGGTCCACGTCCAGGTCCACGTCCACGTCCACGTCCAAGTCCACGTCCACGTCCACGACCACATCCACGTCCACGTCCACGTCCACGTCCTCCATGTCCACGTCCATGTCCACGTCCACGTCCACGACCACGTCCACGTCCACGTCCTCCACGTCCACGTCCACGTCCTCCACGTCCACGTCCACGTCCACGTCCACGTCCACGTCGACCACGTCCACGTCCACGTCCACGTCCACGTCCACGTCCACGTCCACGTCCACATCCACGTCCACGTCCACGTCCACGTCCACGACCACGTCCACGTCCACGTCCACGTCCTCCATGTCCATGTCCACGTCCACGTCCACGTCCACGTCCAGGTCCACGTCCACGTCCACGTCCACGACCACGTCCACGTCCACGTCCACGTCCTCCATGTCCACGTCCACGTCCACGTCCACGTCCACGACCACGTCGAGGTCCACGTCCTTGCCACGTCCACGTCCACGTCCTCCACGTCCACATCCTCCACGTCCACGTCCACGTCCACGTCCAATTCCACGTCCACATCCAGGTCCACGTCCACGTCCACGTCGACGTCCATGTCCACGTCCACGTCCACGACCACGTCGACGACCACGTCCACGTCCACGTCCATGTCCACGTCCACGTCCACGTCCACGTCCAAGTCCACGTCCAAGTCCAGGTCCAGGTCCAGGTCCACGTCCACGTCCAAGTCCACGTCTACGTCCACGTCCACGACCACGTCCACGTCCACGTTCACGTCCACGTCCAGGTCCACGTCCACGTCCACGTCCAGGTCCACGTCCAGGTCCACGTCCACGTCCACGTCCAAGTCCACGTCCACGTCCACGACCACGTCCACGTCCATGTTCACGTCCACGTCCACGTCCACGTCCTCCACGTCCACGTCCACGTCCACGTCCAGGTACACGTCCTTATCACGTCCACGTCCACGTCCTCCACGTCCACGTCCACGTCCTCCACGTCCACGTCCACGTCCACGTCCACGTCCAAGTCCACGTCCACATCCAGGTCCACGTCCACGTCCACGTCCTGGTCCACGTCCATGTCCACGTCCATGTCCACGACCACGTCCACGTCCACGTCCACGTCCACGACCACGTCCACGTCCACGTCGACGTCCACGTCCACGTCCAAGTCCATGTCCACGTCCACGTCCACGACCACGTCCACGTCCACGTCCTCCATGTCCACGTCCACGTCCACGTCCACGTCCTCGTCCACGACCACGTCCAGGTCCACGTCCTTGCCACGTCCACGTCCACGTCCTCCACGTCGACGTCCACGTCCTCCACGTCCACGTCCACGTCCACGTCCAAGTCCACGTCCACATCCAGGTCCACGTCCATGTCCACATCGACGTCCACGTCCACGTCCACGACCACGACCACGTCCACGTCCACGTCCACGTCCACGACCACGTCCACATCCACGTCCTCGTCCACGTCCACGTCCACGTCCAAGTCCACGTCCACGTCCACGTCCAGGTCGAGATCGAGGTCCACGTCCACGTCCACGTCTACGTCCACGTCCACGACCACGTCGATGTCCACGTCCACGTCCATGTCCAGGTCCACGTCCACGTCCACGTCCAGGTCCACGTCCAGGTCCACGTCCACGTCCAAGTCCACGTTCACGTCCACCTCCACGTCCACGTCCACGTCCACGACCACGTCCACGTCCACGTCCACGTCCACGTCCTCCATATCCACGTCCACGTCCACGTCCACGACCACGTCCAGGTCCACGTCCTTGCCACGTCCACGTCCACGTCCTCCACGTCCACGTCCTCCACGTCCACGTCCACGTCCACGTCCAAGTCCACGTCCACATCTAGGTCCACGTCCACGTCCACGTCTACGTCCACGACCACGTCCACGTCCACGTCCACGTCCTCCATGTCCATGTCCACGTCCACGTCCACGTCCACGTCCAGGTCCACGTCCACGTCCACGTCCACGACCACGTCCACGTCCACGTCCACGTCCTCCATGTCCACGTCCACGTCCACGTCCACGTCCACGACCACGTCGAGGTCCACGTCCTTGCCACGTCCACGTCCACGTCCTCCACGTCCACATCCTCCACGTCCACGTCCACGTCCACGTCCACGTCCAATTCCACGTCCACATCCAGGTCCACGTCCACGTCCACGTCGACGTCCATGTCCACGTCCACGTCCACGACCACGTCGACGACCACGTCCACGTCCACGTCCATGTCCACGTCCACGTCCACGTCCACGTCCAAGTCCACGTCCAAGTCCAGGTCCAGGTCCAGGTCCACGTCCACGTCCACGTCTACGTCCACGTCCACGACCACGTCCACGTCCACGTTCACGTCCACGTCCAGGTCCACGTCCACGTCCACGTCCAGGTCCACGTCCAGGTCCACGTCCACGTCCACGTCCAAGTCCACGTCCACGTCCACGACCACGTCCACGTCCATGTCCACGTCCACGTCCACGTCCACGTCCACGTCCTCCACGTCCACGTCCACGTCCAGGTACACGTCCTTATCACGACCACGTCCACGTCCACGTCCTCCACGTCCACGTCCACGTCCTCCACGTCCACGTCCACGTCCACGTCCACGTCCAAGTCCACGTCCACATCCAGGTCCACGTCCATGTCCACATCGACGTCCACGTCCACGTCCACGACCACGACCACGTCCACGTCCACGTCCACGTCCACGTCCACGACCACGTCCACATCCACGTCCTCGTCCACGTCCACGTCCACGTCCAAGTCCACGTCCACGTCCACGTCCAGGTCGAGATCGAGGTCCACGTCCACGTCCACGTCTACGTCCACGTCCACGACCACGTCGATGTCCACGTCCACGTCCATGTCCAGGTCCACGTCCACGTCCAGGTCCAGGTCCACGTCCAGGTCCACGTCCACGTCCAAGTCCACGTTCACGTCCACCTCCACGTCCACGTCCACGTCCACGACCAGGTCCACGTCCACGTCCACGTCCACGTCCTCCATATCCACGTCCACGTCCACGTCCACGACCACGTCCAGGTCCACGTCCTTGCCACGTCCACGTCCACGTCCTCCACGTCCACGTCCTCCACGTCCACGTCCACGTCCACGTCCAAGTCCACGTCCACATCTAGGTCCACGTCCACGTCCACGTCCACAACCACGTCCACGTCCACGTCCACGTCCACATCCACCTCCACGTCCACGTCCACGTCCACGTCCACGTCCACATCCACCTCCACGTCCACGTCCACGTCCACGTCCACATCCCATCCACGTCTACGTCCACGTCCACGTCCACGTCCAGGTCCAGGTCCACGTCCACGTCCACGTCCGCGTCCACGTCCAGGTCCACGTCCAAGTCCACGTCCACGTCCACGTCCACGTCCTCCACGTCCACGTCAATGTCCACGTCCACGTCCAAGTCCACGTCCACGTCTAGGTACACGTCCACATCCACGTCCAGGTCCAGGTCCACGTCCACGTCCACGTCCACGTCCACGTCCACGTCCACGACCTTTCCACGTCCACGTCCGCGTCCACGACCACGTCCACGTCCACGTCCAGGTCCACGTCCACAACCACGTCCACGTCCACGTCCACGTCCAAGTCCACGTCCAGGTCGAGGTCCAGGTCCACGTCCAAGTCCACGTCTATGTCTACGTCCACGACCACGTCCACGTCCACGTCCACGTCCAGGTCCACGTCCACGTCCACGTCCAGGTCCACGTCTAGATCCACGTCCACGTCCACGTCCAAGTCCACGTTCACGTCCACCTCCACGTCCACGTCCATGTCCACGACCACGTCCACGTCCACGTCCAAGTCCACGTCCTCCATGTCCACGTCCACGTCCACGTCCACAACCACGTCCAGGTCCACGTCCTTGCCACGTCCACGTCCACGTCCTCCACGTCCACGTCCACGTCCTCCACGTCCATGTCCACGTCCAAGTCCACGTCCAAGTCCACGTCCAAGTCCACGTCCAGGTCCACGTCCACGTCCATGTCTACGTCCACGTCCAGGTCCACGTCCACGTCCATGTCCAGGTCCACGTCCAGGTCCAAGTCCACGTCCAAGTCCACGTCCACGTCCACGACCACGTCCACGTCCACGTCCACGTCCTCCACGTCCACGTCCACGTCCACGACCACGTCCAGGTCCACGTCCTTGCCACATCCACGTCCACGTCTACGTCCTCCACGTCCACGTCCACGTCCACGTCCACAACCACGTCCACGACCACGTCCACGTCCACGTCCAGGTCCACGTCCACGTCCACGACCACGTCCACGTCCACGTCCACGTCCAAGTCCACGTCCAAGTCCAGGTCCACGTCCAGGTCCAGGTCCACGTCCACGTCCACATCCACGTCCAAGTCCAAGTCCATGTCCACGTCCACGTCCACGTGCACGACCACGTCCACGTCCACGTCCAAGTCCACGTCCAAGTCCACGTCCAGGTCCACGTCCACGTCCACGTCCACGTCCACGTTCACGTCCTCGTCCACGTCTAGGTTCACGTCCACGTCCACGTCCAGGTCCACGTCCAGGTCCAAGTCCACGTCCAAGTCCACGTCCACGTCCACGACCACGTCCACGTCCACGTCCACGTCCACGTCCTCCACGTCCACGTCCACATCCACGTCCACGACCACGTCCAGGTCCACGTCCTTGCCACGTCCACGTCCACGTCCACGTCCTCCACATCCACGTCAACGTCCACGTCCACATCCACGTCCAAGTCCACGTCCACGTCCACGTCCAGGTCCACGTCCACGTCCACGTCGACGTCCAAGTCCACGTCCACGTCCAAGTCCACGTCCACGTCCACAACCACGTCCACGTCCACGTCCACGTCCACGTCCAGGTCCACGTCCACGTCCACGTCCACGTCCACGACCACGTCCACGTACACGTCTACGTCCACGTCCACGACCACGTCCATGTCCACGTCCACATCCACGAACACGTCCACGTCCATATCCACGTCCACGTCCAAGTCCACGTCCACGTCCACGTCCACGTTCACGTCCAGGTCCACGTTCAGGTCCACGTCCACATCCAAGTCCACGTTCACGTCCACCTCCACGTCCACGTCCACGTCCACGACCACGTCCACGTCCACGTCCACGTCCTCCATGTCCACGTCTACGTCCACGTCCACGACCACGTCCAGGTCCACGTCCTTGCCACGTCCACGTCCACGTCCACGTCCATGTCCACGTGCACGTGCACGTCCACGTCTACGTCCACGTCCACGTCCACGTCCATGTCGAGGTCCACGTCCACGTCCAAGTCCACGTCCACGTCCACGTCCATGTCGAGGTCCACGTCCACGTCCACGTCCACGACCACGTCCACGTCCATGACCACGTTCACGTCCACGTCCACGTCCACGACCACGTCCACGTCCATGTCCACGTCCAAGTCCACGTCCAGGTCCACGTCCTCCTCCACGTCCACGTCCAGGTTTACGTCCACGTCCACGTCCACGACCACGTCCACGTCCACGTCCACTTCCACGTCCACGACCACGTCCACGTCCACGTCCAGGTCCACGTCCACAATCACGTCCACATCCACGTCCACGTCCAAGTCCACGTCCAGGTCCAAGTCCACGTCCACGTCCACGACCACGTCCACGTCCACGTCCACGTCCAGGTCCACGACCACGTCCACGTCCACGTCCACTTCCACGTCCACGACCACGTCCACGTCCACGTCCAGGTCCACGTCCACGTCCACGTGCACGTCCACGTCCATGTCCACGTCCACGTCCACGTCCACGTCCTTGCCACGTCCACGTCCAAGTCCACGTCCACGTCCACGTCCATGTCGAGGTCCACGTCCACGTCCACGTCCACAACCACGTCCACGTCCATGACCACGTCCACGTCCACGTCCACGTCCACGACCACGTCCACGTCCATGTCCACGTCCAAGTCCACGTCCAGGTCCACGTCCTCCTCCACGTCCACGTCCAGGTTTACGTCCACGTCCACGTCCACGTCCACGACCACGTCCACGTCCACGTCCACTTCCACGTCCACGACCACGTCCACGTCCACGTCCAGGTCCACGTCCACAACCACGTCCACGTCCACGTCCACGTCCAAGTCCACGTCCACGTCCAAGTCCACGTCCACGTCCACGACCACGTCCACGTCCACGTCTACGTCCAGGTCCACATCCACGTCCATGACCACGTACACGTCTACGTCCACGTCCACGACCACGTCCACGTCCACGTCCACGTCCACGAACACGTCCACGTCCACGTCCAAGTCCACGTCCACGTCCACGTCCACGTTCGCGTCCAGGTCCACGTTCAGGTCCACGTCCACATCCAAGTCCACGTTCACGTCCACCTCAACGTCCACGTCCACGTCCACGACCACGTCCACCTCCACGTCTACGTCCACGTCCTCCATGTCCACGTCCACGTCCACGACCACGTCCAGGTCCACGTCCTTGCCACGTCCACGTCCACGTCCACGTCCACGTGCACGTCCACGTCCACGTCCAGGTCCAGGTCCACGTCCAAACCCACGTCCACGTCCACGTCCACGTCCAAGTCCACGTCCACGTCCATGTCCACGTCCACGTCTACGACCACGTCCACGTCCACGTCCACGTCCACGACCAAGTCCACGTCCACGTCCACGTCCACGTCCACGTCCACGTCCACGTCCACGTCCTTGTCGAGGTCCACGTCCACGTCCACGTCCACGACCACGTCCACGACCACGTCCACGTCCACCTCCACGTCCACGACCACGTCCACGTCCACGTCCACGTCCAAGTCCACGTCCACGTCCAGGTCCACGTCCACCTCCACGTCCACGTCCGAATTACGTCCACGTCCACGTCCACGTCCATGACCACGTCCACGTCCACGTCCACTTCCACGTCTACGACCACGTCCACGTCCACGTCCATGTCCACGTCCAGGTCCAGGTCCACATCCATGTCCACGTCCACGTCCATGTCGAGGTCCACGTCCACGTCCACGTCCACGTCCACGACCACGTCCACGTCCACGACCACGTCCACGTCCACGTCCACGACCACGTCCACGTCCACGTCCACGTCCAAGTCCACGTCCACGTCCAGGTCCACGTCCACCTCCACGTCCACGTCCAGGTTTACGTCCAAGTCAACGTTCACGACCATGTCCACGTCCACGTCCTTGTCCACGTCCAGGTCCACGTCTACCTCCACGTCCACGTCCAGGTCCAGATCCACGTCCACGTCGACGTCCACGTCCACATCCACCTCCACGTCCCCGTCCACGTCCACGTCCACATCCACCTCCACCTCCACGTCCACGTCCACGTCCCCGTCCACATCCCATCCACGTCTACGTCCACGTCCACGTCCAGGTCCAGGTCCACGTCCACGTCCACGTCCGCGTCCACGTCCAGGTCCACGTCCAAGTCCACGTCCACGTCCACGTCCACGTCCTCCATGTCCACGTCCACGTCCTCCACGTCCACGTCAATGTCCACGTCCACGTCCAAGTCCACGTCCACTTCTAGGTACACGTCCACATCCACGTCCAGGTCCAGGTCCAGGTCCACGTCCACGTCCACGTCCACGACCTTTCCACGTCCACGTCCACGTCCACGACCACGTCCACGTCCACGTCCAGGTCCACGTCCACAACCACGTCCACGTCCACGTCCAAGTCCACGTCCAGGTCCAGATCCAGGTCCACGTCCAAGTCCACGTCTATGTCCACGTCCACGACCACGTCCACGTCCACGTCCACGTCCATGTCCAGGTCCACGTCCACGTCCACGTCCAGGTCCACGTCTAGATCCACGTCCACGTCCAAGTCCACGTTCACGTCCACCTCCACGTCCACGTCCATGTTCACGACCACGTCCACGTCCACGTCCAAGTCCACGTCCTCCATGTCCACGTCCACGTCCACGTCCACAACCACGTCCAGGTCCACGTCCTTGCCACGTCCACGTCCACGTCCTCCACGTCCACGTCCACGTCCTCCACGTCCATGTCCACGTCCAAGTCCACGTCCAAGTCCACGTCCAAGTCCACGTCCAGGTCCACGTCCACGTCCACGTCCACGTCCACGTCTACGTCCACGTCCAGGTCCACGTCCACGTCCATGTCCAGGTCCACGTCCAGGTCCAAGTCCACGTCCAAGTCCACGTCCACGTCCACGACCACGTCCACGTCCACGTCCACGTCCTCCACGTCCACGTCCACGTCCACGACCACGTCCAGGTCCACGTCCTTGCCACATCCACGTCCACGTCTACGTCCTCCACGTCCACGTCCACGTCCACGTCCACAACCACGTCCACGACCACGTCCACGTCCACGTCCACGTCCAGGTCCACGTCCACGTCCAGGACCACGTCCACGTCCACGTCCACGTCCAAGTCCACGTCCAAGTCCAGGTCCACGTCCAGGTCCAGGTCCACGTCCACGTCCACATCCACGTCCACGTCCAAGTCCAAGTCCATGTCCACGTCCACGTCCACGTGCACGACCACGTCCACGTCCACGTCCAAGTCCACGTCCAAGTCCACGTCCAGGTCCACGTCCACGTCCACGTCCACGTCCACGTCCACGTTCACGTCCTCGTCCACGTCTAGGTTCACGTCCACGTCCACGTCCAGGTCCACGTCCAGGTCCAAGTCCACGTCCAAGTCCACGTCCACGTCCACGACCACGTCCACGTCCACGTCCACGTCCTCCACGTCCACGTCAACGTCCACGTCCATGTCCACGACCACGTCCATGTCCACGTCCTCCACGTCCACGTCCACGTCCACGTCCACGACCACGTCCACGTCCACGTCCACGTCCACATCCACGTCCACGACCACGTCCACGTCCTCCACGTCCACGTCAATGTCCACGTCCACATCCACGTCCAAGTCCACATCCACGTCCACGTCCACGTCCAGGTCCACGTCCACGTCCACGTCCACGTCCAAGTCCACGTCCACGTCCAAGTCCACGTCCACGTCCACAACCACGTCCACGTCCACGTCCACGTCCAGGTCCACGTCCACGTCCACGTCCACGTCCACGACCACGTCCACGTACACGTCTACGTCCACGTCCACGACCACGTCCACGTCCACGTCCACATCCACGAACACGTCCACGTCCATATCCACGTCCACGTCCAAGTCCACGTCCACGTCCACGTTCACGTTCACGTCCAGGTCCACGTTCAGGTCCACGTCCACATCCAAGTCCACGTTCACGTCCACCTCCACGTCCACGTCCACGTCCACGACCACGTCCACGTCCACGTCCACGTCCTCCATGTCCACGTCCACGTCCACGACCACGTCCAGGTCCACGTCCTTGCCACGTCCACGTCCACGTCCACGTCCACGTGCACGTCCACGTCCACGTCGAGGTCCAGGTCCACGTCCAAACCCACGTCCACGTCCACGTCCACGTCCAAGTCCACGTCCACGTCCATGTCCACGTCCACGTCCACGACCACGTCCACGTCCACGTCCACGTCCACGTCCACGACCACGTCCACGTCCACGTCCACGTCCAAGTCCACGTCCACGTCCATGTCGAGGTCCACGTCCACGTCCACGTCCACGACCACGTCCACGTCCATGACCACGTCCACGTCCACGTCCACGTCCACGACCATGTCCACGTCCACGTCCAAGTCCACGTTCACGTCCACCTCCACGTCCACGTCCATGTCCACGACCACGTCCACGTCCACGTCCAAGTCCACGTCCTCCATGTCCACGTCCACGTCCACGTCCACGTCCACGTCCACATCCACGTCCACGTCCACGTCCAGGTCCACGTCCTTGCCACGTCCACGTCCACGTCCTCCACGTCCATGTCCACGTCCAAGTCCACGTCCAGGTCCACGTCCTCCTCCACGTCCACGTCCAGGTTTACGTCCACGTCCACGTCCACGTCCACGACCACGTCCACGTCCACGTCCACGTCCACTTCCACGTCCACGACCACGTCCACGTCCACGTCCACGTCCACGTCCAGGTCCACATCCATGTCCACGTCCACGTCCACGTCCATGTCGAGGTCCACGTCCACGTCCACGTCCACGACCACGTCCACGTCCACGACCACGTCCACGTCCACGACCACGTCCACGTCCACGTCCACGTCCAAGTCCACGTCCACGTCCAGGTCCACGTCCACCTCCACGTCCACGTCCAGATTTACGTCCACGTCCACGTTCACGACCACGTCCACGTCCACGTCCACGTCCAGGTCCACGTCCACCTCCACGTCCACGTCCAGGTCCAGATCCACGTCCACGTCGACGTCCACGTCCACAACTGTTGAATAGTGCTTAGGAGCCATAACTTAGGAGTCTTGGTTGAGTTCGAGTAGTTGAGTTAGGAGAGTCGAGAAAGTTGAAAAAAGAGAAGAGAGGGGTTTCACTATAGAGCGAGCAGTACATATAGGCAAAAAGAAAGGTGCACCACCAAACGGAATATTGTATAACTACAGTAGTCTACACTACAGGCAGTTACAAAACAATATATAGATTTATATATTATTCTGACAACAACCACGTCCACCTCCACGTCCACGTCCATGTCCACGACCACGTCCACGTCCACGTCCAAGTCCACGTCCTCCATGTCCACGTCCACGTCCACGTCCACGTCCACGTCCACATCCACGTCCACGTCCACGTCCAGGTCCACGTCCTTGCCACGTCCACGTCCACGTCCTCCACGTCCATGTCCACGTCCAAGTCCACGTCCAGGTCCACGTCCTCCTCCACGTCCACGTCCAGGTTTACGTCCACGTCCACGTCCACGTCCACGACCACGTCCACGTCCACGTCCACGTCCACTTCCACGTCCACGACCACGTCCACGTCCACGTCCACGTCCACGTCCAGGTCCACATCCATGTCCACGTCCACGTCCACGTCCATGTCGAGGTCCACGTCCACGTCCACGTCCACGACCACGTCCACGTCCACGACCACGTCCACGTCCACGACCACGTCCACGTCCACGTCCACGTCCAAGTCCACGTCCACGTCCAGGTCCACGTCCACCTCCACGTCCACGTCCAGATTTACGTCCACGTCCACGTTCACGACCACGTCCACGTCCACGTCCACGTCCAGGTCCACGTCCACCTCCACGTCCACGTCCAGGTCCAGATCCACGTCCACGTCGACGTCCACGTCCACAACTGTTGAATAGTGCTTAGGAGCCATAACTTAGGAGTCTTGGTTGAGTTCGAGTAGTTGAGTTAGGAGAGTCGAGAAAGTTGAAAAAAGAGAAGAGAGGGGTTTCACTATAGAGCGAGCAGTACATATAGGCAAAAAGAAAGGTGCACCACCAAACGGAATATTGTATAACTACAGTAGTCTACACTACAGGCAGTTACAAAACAATATATAGATTTATATATTATTCTGACAACAACCACGTCCACGTCCACGTCCACGTCCACGTCCACATCCACGTCCACGTCCACATCCACCTCCACGTCCACGTCCACGTCCACGTCCACGTCCAAGTCCACGTCCACGTCCAGGTCCACGTCCACCTCCACGTCCACGTCCAGGTTTACGTCCACGTCCACGTCCACGTCCACGACCACGTCCACGTCCACGTCCACGTCCACTTCCACGTCCACGACCACGTCCACGTCTACGTCCACGTCCAGGTCCAGGTCCACATCCATGTCCACGTCCACGTCCACGTCCATGTCGAGGTCCACGTCCACGTCCATGTCCACGTCCACGACCACGTCCACGTCCACGACCACGTCCACGTCCACGTCCACGACCACGTCCACGTCCACGTCCACGTCCAAGTCCACGTCCACGTCCAGGTCCACGTCCACCTCCACGTCCACGTCCAGGTTTACGTCCAAGTCCACGTTCACGACCATGTCCACGTCCACGTCCACGTCCACGTCCAGGTCCACGTCTACCTCCACCTCCACGTCCAGGTCCAGATCCACGTCCACGTCGACGTCCACGTCCACAACCACGTCCACGTCCACGTCCACGTCCACGTCCACATCCACCTCCACGTCCACGTCCACGTCCACGTCCACGTCCACATCCACCTCCACGTCCACGTCCACGTCCACGTCCACGTCCACATCCCATCCACGTCTACGTCCACATCCACGTCCACATCCAGGTCCAGGTCCACGTCCACGTCCACGTCCGCGTCCACGTCCAGGTCCACGTCCAAGTCCACGCCCACGTCCACGTCCACGTCCTCCATGTCCACGTCCACGTCCTCCACGTCCACGTCAATGTCCACGTCCACGTCCAAGTCCACGTCCACGTCTAGGTACACGTCCACATCCACGTCCAGGTCCAGGTCCACGTCCACGTCCACGTCCACGTCCACGTCCACGTCCACGACCTTTCCACGTCCACGTCCACGACCACGTCCACGTCCACGTCCAGGTCCACGTCCACGTCCACGTCCACGTCCAAGTCCACGTCCAGGTCCAGGTCCAGGTCCACGTCCAAGTGCACGTCTATGTCCACGTCCACGACCACGTCCACGTCCACGTCCACGTCCATGACCATGTCCACGTCCACGTCCATGTCCAGGTCCACGCCTAGATCCAAGTCCACGTCCACGTCCAAGTCCACGTTCACGTCCACCTCCACGTCCACGTCCATGTCCACGACCACGTCCACGTCCACGTCCAAGTCCACGTCCTCCATGTCCACGTCCACGTCCACGTCCACAACCACGTCCAGGTCCACGTCCTTGCCACGTCCACGTCCACGTCCTCCACGTCCACGTCCACGTCCTCCACGTCCATGTCCACGTCCAAGTCCACGTCCAAGTCCACGTCCAAGTCCACGTCCAGGTCCACGTCCACGTCCACGTCCACGTCCACGTCTACGTCCACGTCCAGGTCCAGGTCCACGTCCATGTCCAGGTCCACGTCCAGGTCCAAGTCCACGTCCAAGTCCACGTCCACGTCCACGACCACGTCCACGTCCACGTCCACGTCCTCCACGTCCACGTCCACGTCCACGACCACGTCCAGGTCCACGTCCTTGCCACATCCACGTCCACGTCTACGTCCTCCACGTCCACGTCCACGTCCACGTCCACAACCACGTCCACGACCACGTCCACGTCCACGTCCACGTCCAGGTCCACGACCACGTCCACGTCCACGTCCACGTCCAAGTCCACGTCCAAGTCCAGGTCCACGTCCAGGTCCAGGTCCACGTCCACGTCCACATCCACGTCCACGTCCAAGTCCAAGTCCATGTCCACGTCCACGTCCACGTGCACGACCACGTCCACGTCCACGTCCAAGTCCACGTCCAAGTCCACGTCCAGGTCCACGTCCACGTCCACGTCCACGTTCACGTCCTCGTCCACGTCTAGGTTCACGTCCACGTCCACGTCCAGGTCCACGTCCAGGTCCAAGTCCACGTCCAAGTCCACGTCCACGTCCACGACCACGTCCACGTCCATTTCCACGTCCACGTCCTCCACGTCCACGTCCACATCCACGTCCACGACCACGTCCAGGTCCACGTCCTTGCCACGTCCACGTCCACGTCCACGTCCTCCACGTCCACGTCAACGTCCACGTCCACATCCACGTCCAAGTCCACGTCCACGTCCACGTCCACGTCCAGGTCCACGTCCACGTCCACGTCCACGTCCAAGTCCACGTCCACGTCCAAGTCCACGTCCACGTCCACAACCACGTCCACGTCCACGTCCACGTCCACGTCCACGTCCACGTCCACGACCACGTCCACGTACACGTCTACGTCCACGTCCACGACCACGTCCACGTCCACGTCCACATCCACGAACACGTCCACGTCCATATCCACGTCCACGTCCAAGTCCACGTCCACGTCCACGTCCACGTTCACGTCCAGGTCCACGTTCAGGTCCACGTCCACATCCAAGTCCACGTTCACGTCCACCTCCACGTCCACGTCCACGTCCACGACCACGTCCACGTCCACGTCCACGTCCTCCATGTCCACGTCCACGTCCACGTCCACGACCACGTCCAGGTCCACGTCCTTGCCACGTCCACGTCCACGTCCACGTCCACGTCCACGTGCACGTCCACGTCCACGTCGAGGTCCAGGTCCACGTCCAAACCCACGTCCACGTCCACGTCCAAGTCCACGTCCACGTCCATGTCCACGTCCACGTCCACGACCACGTCCACGTCCACGTCCACGTCCACGTCCACGTCCACGTCCACGTCCACGTCCACGACCACGTCCACGTCCACGTCCACGTCCAAGTCCACGTCCACGTCCACGTCCACGTCCACGTCCACGACCACGTCCACGTCCACGACCACGTCCACGTCCACGTCCACGTCCACGTCCACGACCACGTCCACGTCCACGTCCACGTCCACGTCCACGACCACGTCCACGTACATGACCACGTCCACGTCCAAGTCCACGTCCACGACCACGTCCACGTCCATGTCCACGTCCAAGTCCACGTCCAGGTCCACGTCCTCCTCCACGTCCACGTCCAGGTTTACGTCCACGTCCACGTCCACGTCCACGACCACGTCCACGTCCACGTCCACGTCCACTTCTACGTCCACGACCACGTCCACGTCCACATCCACGTCCACGTCCACGTCCAGGTCCACATCCATGTCCACGTCCACGTCCACGTCCATGTCGAGGTCCACGTCCACGTCCACGTCCATGACCACGTCCACGTCCACGACCACGTCCACGTCCACGACCACGTCCACGTCCACGTCCACGTCCAAGTCCACGTCCACGTCCAGGTCCACGTCCACCTCCACGTCCACGTCCAGATTTACGTCCACGTCCACGTTCACGACCACGTCCACGTCCACGTCCAAGTCCACGTCCAGGTCCACGTCCACCTCCACGTCCACGTCCAGGTCCAGATCCACGTCCATGTCGACGTCCACGTCCACAACCACGTCCACGTCCACGTCCACGTCCACGTCCACATCCACCTCCACGTCCACGTCCACGTCCACGTCCACGTCCAAGTCCACGTCCACGTCCAGGTCCACGCCCACCTCCACGTCCACGTCCAGGTTTACGTCCACGTCCACGTCCACGTCCACGTCCACGACCACGTCCACGTCCACGTCCACGTCCACTTCCACGTCCACGACCACGTCCACGTCCACGTCCACGTCCAGGTCCAGGTCCACATCCATGTCCACGTCCACGTCCACGTCCATGTCGAGGTCCACGTCCACGTCCACGTCCACGTCCACGACCACGTCCACATCCACGACCACGTCCACGTCCACGTCCACGACCACGTCCACGTCCACGTCCACGTCCAAGTCCACGTCCACGTCCAGGTCCACGTCCACCTCCACGTCCACGTCCAGGTTTACGTCCAAGTCCACGTTCACGACCATGACCACGTCCACGTCCACGTCCACGTCCAGGTCCACGTCTACCTCCACCTCCACGTCCAGGTCCAGATCCACGTCCACGTCGACGTCCACGTCCACAACCACGTCCACGTCCACGTCCACGTCCACATCCACCTCCATGTCCACGTCCACGTCCACGTCCACGTCCACATCCACCTCCACGTCCACGTCCACGTCCACGTCCACATCCCATCCACGTCTACGTCCACGTCCACGTCCACGTCCAGGTCCAGGTCCACGTCAACGTCCACGTCCGCGTCCACGTCCAGGTCCACGTCCAAGTCCACGTCCACGTCCACGTCCACGTCCTCCATGTCCACGTCCACGTCCTCCACGTCCACGTCAATGTCCACGTCCACGTCCAAGTCCACATCCACGTCTAGGTACACGTCCACATCCACGTCCAGGTCCAGGTCCACGTCCACGTCCACGTCCACGTCCACGTCCACGTCCACGACCTTTCCACGTCCACGTCCACGTCCACGACCACGTCCACGTCCACGTCCAGGTCCACGTCCACAACCACGTCCACGTCCACGTCCACGTCCAAGTCCACGTCCAGGTCCAGGTCCAGGTCCACGTCCAAGTCCACGTCTATGTCCACGTCCACGACCACGTCCACGTCCACGTCCACGTCCATGTCCAGGTCCACGTCCACGTCCACGTCCAGGTCCACGTCTAGATCCACGTCCACGTCCACGTCCAAGTCCACGTTCACGTCCACCTCCACGTCCACGTCCATGTCCACGACCACGTCCACGTCCACGTCCAAGTCCACGTCCTCCATGTCCACGTCCACGTCCACGTCCACAACCACGTCCAGGTCCACGTCCTTGCCACGTCCACGTCCACGTCCTCCACGTCCACGTCCACGTCCTCCACGTCCATGTCCACGTCCAAGTCCACGTCCAAGTCCACGTCCAAGTCCACGTCCAGGTCCACGTCCACGTCCACGTCCACGTCCACGTCCACGTCTACGTCCACGTCCAGGTCCACGTCCACGTCCATGTCCAGGTCCACGTCCAGGTCCAAGTCCACGTCCAAGTCCACGTCCACGTCCACGACCACGTCCACGTCCACGTCCACGTCCTCCACGTCCACGTCCACGTCCACGACCACGTCCAGGTCCACGTCCTTGCCACATCCACGTCCACGTCTACGTCCTCCACGTCCATGTCCACGTCCACGTCCACAACCACGTCCACGACCACGTCCACGTCCACGTCCAGGTCCACGTCCACGTCCACGACCACGTCCACGTCCACGTCCAAGTCCACGTCCAAGTCCAGGTCCACGTCCAGGTCCAGGTCCACGTCCACGTCCACATCCACGTCCACGTCCAAGTCCAAGTCCATGTCCACGTCCACGTCCACGTGCACGACCACGTCCACGTCCACGTCCAAGTCCACGTCCAAGTCCACGTCCAGGTCCACGTCCACGTCCACGTCCACGTCCACGTTCACGTCCTTGTCCACGTCTAGGTTCACGTCCACGTCCACGTCCAGGTCCACGTCCAGGTCCAAGTCCACGTCCAAGTCCACGTCCACGTCCACGACCACGTCCACGTCCACGTCCACGTCCACGTTCTCCACGTCCACGTCCACATCCACGTCCACGACCACGTCCAGGTCCTTGTCCTTGCCACGTCCACGTCCACGTCCTCCACGTCCACGTCAACGTCCACGTCCACATCCACGTCCAAGTCCACGTCCACGTCCACGTCCACGTCCAGGTCCACGTCCACGTCCACGTCCAAGTCCACGTCCACGTCCAAGTCCACGTCCACGTCCACAACCACGTCCACGTCCACGTCCACGTCCACGTCCAGGTCCACGTCCACGTCCACGTCCACGTCCACGACCACGTCCACGTACACGTCTACGTCCACGTCCACGACCACGTCCACGTCCACGTCCACATCCACGAACACGTCCACGTCCATATCCACGTCCACGTCCAAGTCCACGTCCACGTCCACGTCCACGTTCACGTCCAGGTCCACGTTCAGGTCCACGTCCACATCCAAGTCCACGTTCACGTCCACCTCCACGTCCACGTCCACGTCCACGACCACGTCCACGTCCACGTCCACATCCTCCATGTCCACGTCCACGTCCACGACCACGTCCAGGTCCACGTCCTTGCCACGTCCACGTCCACGTCCACGTCCACGTCCACGTCCACGTGCACGTCCAAGTCCACGTCGAGGTCCAGGTCCACGTCCAAACCCACGTCCACGTCCACGTCCACGTCCAAGTCCACGTCCACGTCCATGTCCACGTCCACGTCCACGACCACGTCCACGTCCACGTCCACGACCACGTCCACGTCCACGTCCACGTCCACGTCCAAGTCCACGTCCACGTCACGTCCATGTCGAGGTCCACGTCCACGTCCACGTCCACGACCACGTCCACGTCCATGACCAAGTCCACGTCCACGTCCACGACCACGTCCACGTCCACGTCCAGGTCCAGGTCCACATCCATGTCCACGTCCACGTCCACGTCCATGTCGAGGTCCACGTCCACGTCCACGTCCACGTCCACGACCACGTCCACGTCCACGACCACGTCCACGTCCACGTCCACGACCACGTCCACGTCCACGTCCACGTCCAAGTCCACGTCCACGTCCAGGTCCACGTCCACCTCCACGTCCACGTCCAGGTTTACGTCCAAGTCCACGTTCACGTCCATGACCACGTCCACGTCCACGTCCACGTCCAGGTCCACGTCTACCTCCACCTCCACGTCCAGGTCCAGATCCACGTCCACGTCGACGTCCACGTCCACAACCACGTCCACGTCCACGTCCACGTCCACATCCACCTCCATGTCCACGTCCACGTCCACGTCCACGTCCACATCCACCTCCACGTCCACGTCCACGTCCACGTCCACATCCCATCCACGTCTACGTCCACGTCCACGTCCACGTCCAGGTCCAGGTCCAGGTCCACGTCCACGTCCGCGTCCACGTCCAGGTCCACGTCCAAGTCCACGTCCACGTCCACGTCCACGTCCTCCATGTCCACGTCCACGTCCTCCACGTCCACGTCAATGTCCACGTCCACGTCCAAGTCCACGTCCACGTCTAGGTACACGTCCACATCCACGTCCAGGTCCAGGTCCACGTCCACGTCCACGTCCACGTCCACGTCCACGTCCACGACCTTTCCACGTCCACGTCCACGTCCACGACCACGTCCACGTCCACGTCCAGGTCCACGTCCACAACCACGTCCACGTCCACGTCCACGTCCAAGTCCACGTCCAGGTCCAGGTCCAGGTCCACGTCCAAGTCCACGTCTATGTCCACGTCCACGACCACGTCCACGTCCACGTCCACGTCCATGTCCAGGTCCACGTCCACGTCCACGTCCAGGTCCACGTCTAGATCCACGTCCACGTCCACGTCCAACTCCACGTTCACGTCCACCTCCACGTCCACGTCCATGTCCACGACCACGTCCACGTCCACGTCCAAGTCCACGTCCTCCATGTCCACGTCCACGTCCACGTCCACAACCACGTCCAGGTCCACGTCCTTGCCACGTCCACGTCCACGTCCTCCACGTCCACGTCCACGTCCTCCACGTCCATGTCCACGTCCAAGTCCACGTCCAAGTCCACGTCCAAGTCCACGTCCAGGTCCACGTCCACGTCCACGTCCACGTCCACGTCCACGTCTACGTCCACGTCCAGGTCCACGTCCACGTCCATGTCCAGGTCCACGTCCAGGTCCAAGTCCACGTCCAAGTCCACGTCCACGTCCACGACCACGTCCACGTCCACGTCCACGTCCTCCACGTCCACGTCCACGTCCACGACCACGTCCAGGTCCACGTCCTTGCCACATCCACGTCCACGTCTACGTCCTCCACGTCCACGTCCACGTCCACGTCCACAACCACGACCACGTCCACGTCCACGTCCAGGTCCACGTCCACGTCCACGACCACGTCCACGTCCACGTCCAAGTCCACGTCCAAGTCCAGGTCCACGTCCAGGTCCAGGTCCACGTCCACGTCCACATCCACGTCCACGTCCAAGTCCAAGTCCATGTCCACGTCCACGTCCACGTGCACGACCACGTCCACGTCCACGTCCAAGTCCACGTCCAAGTCCACGTCCAGGTCCACGTCCACGTCCACGTCCACGTCCACGTTCACGTCCTTGTCCACGTCTAGGTTCACGTCCACGTCCACGTCCAGGTCCACGTCCAGGTCCAAGTCCACGTCCAAGTCCACGTTCTCCACGTCCACGTCCACATCCACGTCCACGTCCACGTCCACGTTCTCCACGTCCACGTCCACATCCACGTCCACGACCACGTCCAGGTCCACGTCCTTGCCACGTCCACGTCCACGTCCTCCACGTCCACGTCAACGTCCACGTCCACATCCACGTCCAAGTCCACGTCCACGTCCACGTCCACGTCCAGGTCCACGTCCACGTCCACGTCCACGTCCAAGTCCACGTCCACGTCCAAGTCCACGTCCACGTCCACAACCACGTCCACGTCCACGTCCACGTCCACGTCCAGGTCCACGTCCACGTCCGCGTCCACGTCCACGACCACGTCCACGTACACGTCTACGTCCACGTCCACGACCACGTCCACGTCCACGTCCACATCCACGAACACGTCCACGTCCATATCCACGTCCACGTCCAAGTCCACGTCCACGTCCACGTCCACGTTCACGTCCAGGTCCACGTTCAGGTCCACGTCCACATCCAAGTCCACGTTCACGTCCACCTCCACGTCCACGTCCACGTCCACGACCACGTCCACGTCCACGTCCACATCCTCCATGTCCACGTCCACGTCCACGACCACGTCCAGGTCCACGTCCTTGCCACGTCCACGTCCACGTCCACGTCCACGTGCACGTCCACGTCCACGTCGAGGTCCAGGTCCACGTCCAAACCCACGTCCACGTCCAAGTCCACGTCCACGTCCATGTCCACGTCCACGTCCACGACCACGTCCACGTCCACGTCCACGACCACCTCCACGTCCACGTCCATGTCCACGTCCAAGTCCACGTCCACGTCCACGTCCATGTCGAGGTCCACGTCCACGTCCACGACCACGTCCACGTCCATGACCAAGTCCACGTCCACGTCCACGACCATATCCACGTCCATGTCCACGTCCAAGTCCACGTCCAGGTCCACGTCCTCCTCCACGTCCACGTCCAGGTTTACGTCCACGTCCACGTCCACGACCACGTCCACGTCCACGTCCACGACCACGTCCACGTCCACGTCCATGTCCACGTCCACGACCACGTCCACGTCCACGACCACGTCCACGTCCACGACCACGTCCACGTCCACGTCCACGTCCAAGTCCACGTCCACGTCCATGTCCACGTCCACCTCCACGTCCACGTCCAGATTTACGTCCACGTCCACGTTCACGACCACGTCCACGTCCACGTCCACGTTCAGGTCCACGTCCACCTCCACGTCCACGTCCAGGTCCAGATCCACGTCCATGTCGACGTCCACGTCCACAACCACGTCCACGTCCACGTCCACGTCCACATCCACCTCCACGTCCACGTCCACGTCCACGTCCACGTCCAAGTCCACGTCCACGTCCAGGTCCACGTCCACCTCCACGTCCACATCCAGGTTTACGTCCACGTCCACGTCCACGTCCACGACCACGTCCACGTCCACGTCCACTTCCACGTCCACGACCACGTCCACGTCCACGTCCACGTCCAGGTCCAGGTCCACATCCATGTCCACGTCCACGTCCACGTCCATGTCGAGGTCCACGTCCACGTCCACGTCCACGTCCACGACCACGTCCACGTCCACGACCACGTCCACGTCCACGTCCACGACCACGTCCACGTCCAAGTCCACGTCCAAGTCCACGTCCACGTCCAGGTCCACGTCCACCTCCACGTCCACGTCCAGGTTTACGTCCAAGTCCACGTTCACGACCATGTCCACGTCCACGTCCACGTCCAGGTTCACGTCTACCTCCACCTCCACGTCCAGGTCCAGATCCACGTCCACGTCGACGTCCACGTCCACAACCACGTCCACGTCCACGTCCACGTCCACGTCCACATCCACCTCCACGTCCACGTCCACGTCCACGTCCACATCCACCTCCACGTCCACGTCCACGTCCACGTCCACATCCCATCCACCTCTACGTCCACGTCCACGTCCACGTCCAGGTCCAGGTCCACGTCCACGTCCACGTCCGCGTCAACGTCCAGGTCCACGTCCAAGTCCACGTCCACGTCCTCCATGTCCACGTCCACGTCCTCCACGTCCACGTCAATGTCCACGTCCACGTCCAAGTCCACGTCCACGTCTAGGTACACGTCCACATCCACGTCTAGGTCCACGTCCACGACCTTTTCACGTCCA